GTGGGGGGGACGAAGCGCGGCGAGACAGTGGGCCCCGCGTAGGACTTGGGCCGCTGGCACTGGCAGATTTGCAGCCACAAGGGATGTGGAGGAAAACTCCTGGTGGGGGTGGCACTCGGCAAGGTGTCTGGCTCGGCTCAGACTCCTCCTGGCCCACACGTGCAGTTCTGGGGGCAAGGCCATCGCAGCTTTTCCTCCGGAAGGCCGGGCTTGGAGGGGCTGACATCCGCGTGGCTGTGTTGGCAGGGTTAGGCTGCAGGCAGAGCGCAGGGGCTGTGAGGGTCATGGGGCGATGGAGATGCCAGCCTCAGAGAAGTGGGCAGGCGTGACCGGCCTCTCTGGGGAGAGCAGGATCGCGTTAGGCTGTAGGCAGCCTAGCTTAGTAAAATCGAAGGCTGGCAGCTCCCGCCCCACAGGGTCTGAGCCAGGGTTGATTCAAACTCCAGCCTCTCAGCACAAGCCCCTGGGAATTCGGTGCTATTGGGTTTTTCTCCAACAGATGGAAGCTCAAGTCCTGTGAGCCAGTGCGGCGGGAGGGGCCGAAGGTACGGTGTGCAGCCGGCAGGCTTGGCCCTGGGCTTGGCTCAGCAGAGCTCTGTGGAGCCCCGCTTCTCCCTTTGCCTCTGCTGTGATCGTCCTGCCACCCACAGGGCCAGAGGCCAAAACCGCCTGAGGAGCTGCACAAAGATCTCGCCAGGCGAAGTGATTGGGCCCCAATGGCAGATGACATTGGCAAAGTAGGCATAGCAAGGGTGGGGAGCCATGTAGCTACAGCTGCTCAGGAGAGATCCTGGAGCCTCCGGACAGTTCTCTGGGAACATCCTCGCAGTGCGCAGCAGCGAGCAAACGAGCACATAGAATGTGAGGAGTCCTTCAAAAACGATAGAGAATAAGACGGAGAATATCTTATTGCCTCTGTATAAAACCAGGGGCTGCCCACATCTGGAATCCTGTGTCCAGACGTGGTCACCTCATCTCAGAGAAGATCTCTTGGCACTGGAAAAGGGCAACAAAGTGACAAGGGGTTTGCCACGGGTCCCGTATGGAGAGAGATTAAAAAGACTGGGGCTTAGGAGACTAAGGGGGGCTAGGATAGAGGTCATCGCCCATAGGGGGAGAGTGTGGGGCTGGGCAGAGGCCTTTGTTTGCTGTGCCCATGCCCACAGCCTGCGAGCAGTCCCCAGTGCAGCATCTGGCCCCCTCCTGACTGAGCTGTCCCAGGGCAGCGCGTTCTGCTGGGAGGGCCAGAGAACCGCCCAGCCTGGTCGATAGGTAGAGCTGTATTTTCCCTCCATGGAACCCTTGAGCCTGCAGCTAGTCAGACCCCCCTACCCCCCAAACCAGTGGGGCCCCTGCTGGAGTTTCCTCCAGAAATCTCAGGCTCCCAGAGCAGGTGCAGGATCTGTTGGGTTTCTAATATCTGCCCCTTTCCCAATGGCACTGTAGTGGGATCCATCCCGACTGACTGAGTCCACGACCTTTGTGCTGGGATCCCGAGCAAACAAGTAAGGAGGCTTCGGCGGGGGGCGGGCTCTGTGCCCCGTGGGTCTGGCCCCGGGGGGCTGCTCCCTCCCGAGTCAACACGGCTCTGGGGGGGAGGAAGCCTCCCCATCCCCCAGCTGAGCTGCCCTGCTGCACAGGCCTAACCCTACCCCCCCCCCATGTTCCTGTTTCAGGGCTCTTGGGATGGGCGGGACCAGAGGGCGACTCTACATCAAGCACCCCCACCTCTTTAAGGTCAGTAATGGCAGCGCACCACTTCCTCCTTTGGGGTTTGCTCGGGGGGAGGGGGGAGCTGTTGCTCGGGACATGCTGCAGTGGGGGAGGGGGACTGCTCCGGACGTGCTCGGGGTGGGGGAGGTGTGTGTTTGCGCTCGTACGTTCTGCCCTCCCCGCGTTGCTGACTGCCCCCTGGGGCAGGGACTCCAGCTCGTTGTGGGTGGCAGCTCACACCAGAGCTGGCATCACACAGCAGCAGTCTGGTGTATTTGCCTGGCACAGGAGGCTTTGCTTTGAGGCGTAAGCAAGAGGGGGCCAAGTCCTTGTTCGTAGGCAGCTCTCTTCCTGGGAGGCATGGGGTTGCCCAGGTTTCCCCAAAGGCCTGGCCCTGGCCCTGTGTCTCTCGCGGGCGTTGGCCCATGGTGGGGGCTACGGAGGGCACTGTGGGGCTCTGACCTGGCTGCTCTGTTGCAGTATGCGGCCGATCCACAGGACAAGCATTGGCTGGCAGAACAGCAGCACATGCGGGCCACGGGGGGCAAGATGGTGAGTGTGGCCTGACCTGGGTGGGGACGGGGAGAGAATCGGAAGCCAGCTCAGAATCGAAGGGTACAAATCAGCAGAAGCCAGGGATTCCAGGGTCCCCAGTGAGCTGACGGGCGCGTCCCAGCGCCATCTGTGAGGCTGCTCTCTGCGCCTCATCTCCTGGGGCTCCAGCCCTGGCAGGCGTCCGTTGTGCCGTGGTGGCTGTGCGAGCGAATGCGGAGAGCCCACAGCAGTGCTGCTCACAGCAGGCCCAGTCTCTTAAGAGGTGTGGGGGGCGGGTGCTATGTAGAGAGCTGGTGCCAGCAGATCTGTCTGAGTAGCCCAGTGGAACGGCTCCAACCATCTCTCGTTTGCCCTTGCTGCAGGCTTACCTCCTCCTAGAGGAGGATATTCAGGACCTGGCTGCCAGTGACGATTACAGGTGAGGCAAGGAGCCAAGACTTAGCGGTGCTGACCCCTTGCTCTCTTTTCTTACCAAACCAACAGCTGGGGAGCGGAGGGGAGGGGGGCCAGGCAGCCGAGCGACCCTGCCGAGGACTGTGCTCTGCCCGCTGGCCTTGTGCCCACACTCGCCACTGGGATGCGGCATCATGGGCGCACACAGGCTGCTGAGCTCTCCTGAACGTTGGGGTTCTCCCAGGGCGTGGGGCTGAACTGTCTGTCCCTCCCCCCACGGTCACTCCTGTCTCCCGCTTGCTCGCCAGGGACTCTGTTGACTTGAAGCTGGAGGAACTAAAACCTTTTATCCCGCCTGCATGGATGACTGAAAAGATGCAGAAGTACATGGAGACGCTTCGCCGGGAAGGGGACCCGCAGCCTCCAGAGGGAACTCATGAAACATAAGAAGCCTCGCCCTCCCTCCCACACGGTGTCACGGCATGGACTGGCGCAGGAGCGTCCTCATTTTCCTGTGTTTCACAAGGCAGAGGGGCTGTGGTTTCAGTGGCCTGGGTACCAGCAAGCTGCCCCCAGGGGAAAGCAGGGTAGCAGCTGTAATTGAACCTCCTGGGAGCTGTTGGGGCCAGTCCCCTAGTTGGTGGTGGCTGGCACAGAAAGCAGAGTCACTGGCGGTTTCCTGCTTCTCATCAGAGCTGAGCTTTCGCTTGTGTGAACTTCCTGTTTTGGATCCTCTCCCTGTACAAACTGATTTGTAATAAATACACCTGCTGTGTCTATGCTGTCGGGGAAAAAGGGGTGTATGGACCTGTTGCTTACATGGAGATAATGAGGAAGAGAGACCCCCCCACACACACACTTCTGGGAGCTGGGCAAGAGGCCACAGGAGCTGCTCCTGCCTCCTTGGGGCAAAGTTTCTGTAGTAGAATTCCAGGACTGCCCTATTCCAGCCTCAGCGTGAAAGCGCCGCCTGCTTCCTGCTTGGTCCAAGCTGGCTGCCTGGGCTGGAGCTGGGATTTCAAACCGCCTGCGGCAGGCGCATCCTGCCTGACCTAGTTCCTGGGGG